AAAAAAAAAAAAAAAAAAAAAAAAAAAAAAAAAAAAAAAAAAAAAAAAAAAAAAGGTAGAAAGAGAGAGATGGTGAAATACATAGGGCTCAGAAAGAGAGGGATAAAGCGAGGGATAAAGGATATGTGAGGATACAATATACGGAGCAATAGTGAGCCACACCGGGAGAGCTTTGACAAAAAGCACAGCAAGCAACGAGAGTACGCGTTGCGAGCACCAAGAAGTTGGAGAGAGAGAGAGAGAGAGAGAGAGAGGATTAAGCTCCTTCCGGTCGATGTAAAAAAGCCCGGCAATATCGAGGTTAAACGGCACTAAACGCCGATCTTTCCGGCAACGGTACGGATAAAACCCCTGTTTTACAACTTTTTTCACTTTTTCCTTAATATGGCTTTGTTGTACCTTATTTAAGCGTCCACGACAAATTCGAAATAAACCTAGTGGAGTAGTAGGTCGGAATAATTTGAAATTTCAAAAACCACCCATCCCAAAGAAGAAGTATCGATTTAACGCCCCAAACCCACCCTGAGGTTTTATCGCGGGATCCCTACCGGCTTTCATTCTTTAAAACGTCCTTCCTTTTCTCCTTTCTCTCTCTCTCTCCTTTTGTCCTTACCAAAAGAGACCATCTTGGAGGGTTTTACGCACTTTTACTGTTTTCTTTTATCTGTTCTCGTAACTTTATCGCACATTCTCGGGATTACCCTTCGTTGCGCAACACTTTTTTTTAAACAGTAAACTTTGAATTCGCTACCCTCTCGGTTGTCTAACTTTTTTTGTTTCCATTGTCATTATTTCCCTTTCATTCCGTGTACAGATAACGATAGAAGATATAAAAAGAGAACCTCCGGGTCTGCGGATTGTATGCGAGTAATATACATGTAGGTGGTTGAAAGAGATGGGGCGGGGATGGGCAGGGGGTCTAGAGGGGTTGTACAGAACAAGAGTACGGGAGGAAGCCCAGTTTTTCGCTTGTAATCTTTTTTGCATTATCATTTGCTATTTTTTTTTCTTCTTCTTGTATTTTCAAATTACCCGGGTGCAAGAATGAAAGATCGAGCTACGTGGTTGCTGCTCTTACCTGACTACGTAGCTTGGCGATGTTCTGGCCGCCTCTGCCGATTATCGATCCGGCGACCTGCAACATGGAGAGAAAAGAAAAAATGAACCAACAGAGTCGTGGTATTAGTTAGGAAATTTTTTTATACTATACCCCGTAGCGAAATTTCAGTTTTTTAATTAAAGTATATGGATACATATTTCACGTTTTCTTTCAACAAAACAGATAAAGAAACTAACTACTATGAGAATGATTACGTCACTTTCAAAGGATTGCCATCTCAAAAATGACTGGTTATGTTCTAGCATTGTCTGCAGAAATTTCGAGATAAAATCATTCCTACAAACAAAATATCATGATGCAAAATTTGTATGCCAGTACTATGGTTGATACATTTATTCAACAAACAATATGACCTAAAATAGTTTGAATAATACCAGAGTTTGTTGAAAAAAGGAAGAAAAAAAAAATACTCTCGTGGCAAACAGTGTTCCGTTGATTAAAAACAGAAAGAAAACGTAACGAAGCTCGAGTACACTAAAAAAAAGGAGGGGGAAAGAAAAAAGTCAACGCCCACGAGAACTGCCATTTGCATCCCAGACGTTGGCGCGGCACATACCAGCACTAATTCCCCGTCATTATATACCCGCAGCCAAGGGGAAAGCACCACCACCACACCGTAGTTGTGGCTTCGAGGAAAATGCCCGGGGCGTCGCGTGCCTCAAATATACAAAGTAATACACGCATGTGTTTGTATACGTATATACCTGCCCAACACACGACAGTTCTGCGTAACGTACAGCTGTACGTCAAAACGGGGGTGGCGATCTCGTAGCGGTGGACAACTGTCATATTAGCCGATCGATCGATACACGCGAGTTGTCTTTTGTTGGCTTGGCAAAAGCAGCTTGCTGTTGTACGTTTCCGTAAGCAAAAGTAATTGTGGCTTTTGCGTTTCTTTCATACACTCGCGTGTTACTATTACTACATTTGTGCAATGATGAAGCACGAGAACCCACGCGGACGCGCTCGTACGAGTGGGGCGACTGTCGCGGGGGCGTCGAAGGTTGGTTAGACACTCTTTAGACGGGCGTACCGTTACTTTGGCGAGCCCGTGACGTGTGTAATCATCGTCGTTCCGCTATGCTGTTTTGTAAGACAACTTCGCTTCATTTATTACCAAACATCGAAATACAATCCACGAATTTCAAATAGTTTAAGGCTATTTGTTCAAACTTGATGATGATTTAAATATTAACGATGATTACGAGACGTAGTGTTGTCACGTGCTTAGCTTGATGTTTTTTAATATAAGTACAACGTAGCATGATTTAATTATATTTTTGTTGCCAAATGATTCCGAACAGTTTTATTATGTTTTTTTTTTTTTTTTTTTTTTTTTTTTTTTTTTTTTTTTTTTTTTTTTTTTTTTNGCGAATTTGTCGTCAATTTTTTTTCTTCTCTTTTTAATTTTCATAATTTTCCAAATTCACGTGGTTGTTGAAATAATACCATGCCTATAGGCAGTAAGTATCGATATCACAACAACAACGTCATTATATGTATATCAGCAAAAATAACATTTTCCGCCCTCGGGTGGTTTTGGGAGGCTGGTACTTCCTCGGGCGAAAAAGCAGTTTTCCGGAACTCGTTCGAAAAGTCTCCTTTACGAACCTCGTTACGTCCCTCGCCTTCGGCTCGGGCCGCAAACCTCTCGGCTCGCAAACAGAGACTTTTCAAACTCGTAGGAAAACTACTATTTCGATCGCATGGAAAAGCCATTTGCACCCGTGATATCGGATTTCATTCGTCACGAGCTCGATAGCGTCTGCGTAAGCCTACGACACCTATTTTCAGGGGGAGCGCGCGCAGGAATGTCAACGCCCGGGAGGACGGACGGGCAGACAGACGCTACGACAAGTTATTACGCGGAAAGCCTTTCGAAAATTTCAATATACAAGGCACACGCGCTCGACTGCCGTGTGTCTCGCATCACCCAAGGGGACATTTATAATTAAATTATACGACTTTCGTTGGAGTATTAAACGTAGTTACGGGCTTTGATGGACTTTAACTTGATTATGTAAAACGATGATTAGGGGTGTGTCGGGTCCCACGTATGGATGCTGTATAACTTTTAATTAATAATACTAATTATATTTCTGCGTAAATTTGATTTTTTCCTGATTTTATCATTTATTTTACATTGCAAACTTTGTTTGGAGCGTTAAGAAGTTTAACGTTAGGGTTTCGTTATCTTAGTGAGTATTAGTCTCTCTAATTTGTGGGTTAGCAGTCGATTTGACGTTACGCATGAAATAAAATTTTTAAAAATTTAAAAATAGGTCTGAAAAAACCGGAAAAAACAATGCTACTGTTAATAGATAGAGAAAAAAAGTAAAAATTATAGCTTGTACGTTCTGATTATTAAACAGCTTTTATTTGAATATTAAAAGGTTTTGTGTATGTCATACTTAGTTTAAGTAGTGAAAATATCAAATCAGTCAGTACTTTTTTTTCGTAATGACATAACCTTCAATCGGTTAAAATGCACAGCCACGTTTCTGTTCTTATCAACCAGTCGGATAAATTAATGTTTTCAAATAATTGTGATATTTTAAACAATAAAGCTGTATTTTTTTTCAGTTATTGTTTGTTTAACTACTTTTTTTTGGCACAAACTAAGCTTGTAGGTATTGAAAAGTATGTTTTACAATGACTTTTTACGATTACTCGGTCATTTTAATTAACCTTACTTATATTTTATATTTTTATAATGTATTTTAAATGCAGGAATACAATTCAACTTTCATCACCAGAGCTAATGTATAAATTTATTAATGTCAAAATGCACTTGAATTTAATTTACACAACCGATTTTCAAAAAAAAACTTATTATCAACTACAACTGATCAGTATGAATCAATCACAAAACGAATAAAGAGTCATTAGTCGCGTGACAATTGGTCTTTGAGAAAATAATTTTCCGCGGATAATTCAATAGACCTTCGAAGGTAAAGTACTGCTAGTAAAAACTGATTTCCACCCGCGATGGCCGCAATTCGAGGTATTCGTGACGTTTGTCACAAAGATGTACTCGAAACGGCTCCAACTCGATTACACAGGCTACCGATACAGCGGCAAACCGGCTTTTACAAAAGCTCAGATCTGAAAATCGCATCTTAAGTAAAGAGTGAAAAAAAAAGTTTATATATATACCATTGCAAAACAGTTCCTAGGACACGTAATTGCCCAAGATTTGAAAAAAAGCTAGCACACCGAAATCGCAACATCTGAATCCTTCGGTATATACAGCGATGACGAAACGCAGAGCGAAAAAGGAGACACGCTCGCTTCCGAGATGCATTCTAATGCCGCTCTCCCACGGCAAGGTATAATATTTTCTTGGCGCGCTTGGTGAGCACAGGTTTATATGCGCCGATGGGGGGGGGGGGGCACACGAGACGCCTTTGTCGGACGTTTATCATGGGGTACATATATACATGTAGCGTATAGATGAACGTGAGATGAATATTACATACATATATATATATATGTGTGTGTGGAAGGTATGAAGGGGGAATCGTAATCAGACGCGAAGTTCGCGGGTTTGGGGTACATCATGTTCATACAGACATGGCGATATCGTGATGCGCGATGGTGCGGTTCATCTGGCGATAAATTGAGCCGTACGCGGTGTGAAAATGTACAAGATGGGGAAGAGAATGGTGCGAGAAGTTGGTGATTTTTTTTTTTTTTTTGCAAAAAAAGATAATTGACGGGGAATGTGTGGTGGTGGACGTGCTCAGAAGGTAAAATAACAACGCGCCAGTTATTGCTCCGTCGATCTGTTGAAGGTGTTTTACCGATCAATAATATTTTCACGGATCTCGCATTCGGAATAGACTATACGCTGTAATGTATAGGCGCAAGGGAGAAACAAAGATATCGACGTTACTAAGTGTGCTTTCCATCCACAACAATGATTTCGTACCAACGCGCAAGTATGTTTCGTAATATTCAAAGCTCAAAATTCGCGTGGGAGGGCGTTGTTTATTCAGATTTTTGTTTTTGTAATCGGATGATGTAGTGTAGCTCGTATCGCATTCACGAAGAGTGCCGTTAAGGCTCTTTTGCCCTCTATGTTTTAAAATTTGCATTTATACGTTCAAACGCGTGTATACATATAGGCACGCGTAACAGTCGCATTAGCATGGAATTTTAATCTCCTCTCCCACTCCCTCGTTGGTCACGAATATCGCTTACCTACTCCGATGTGCACGGCCAGTGGTTGGTTAACGTTATTAACGCGCATACATATTTACGAGGGAAACGCATCGAGATGATGCTGTTGCTAATGTAAAGGGAAACTTGAGTCGATTAACCACAAGCTGCAGCTTTCGGTGGTAAGGGTAGTTCCACTTTGAAGTTATTTTTCAACATACGATCTTACTTGACTGGCTTTTTTTGGCTATCAGTGACGAAGTAAAAAATGCCAAAACTAGTTCTATCATTCGATGAAAATGCAGGGCAGTATATAAACGCATTGAATGAAACAGGTTTTATTTGGCTCTTGCGAAGTTGAAAATTACATAATGCAAATACGAATTAGATTAGGGCTTAACTTTTACCGGCTTGCCTTACCTTACTCGTCTGTCTCTACTTAATTTTGTGGACGACAAACTTTTATAGGCTAAAAATTTAACCCACTGTGGACTGTTTCGGTTAATTATTGTAGATCAAAATTGTTTAACTTTAAAAATTAAAAGTAAAAATTTCACTAAAAAAAAAAAATTATAACTAAAAAGTAGAAATTTATTTAATTTCCTACGCGTGACGATACGACGTTAAAAGTGATGGTCTCCAATTGAGTGTTGTCATAAAAAAATAGTTTGGCGACTCCCACACAATTTTATAATTTTCATATATTCTTGATTTCCATCTTTCCTATAAATAAATTCATGTAAAAAGAGGTGAAGTTAATTTTGATATTTTTTTTTTTCGTTTCCATCGCTCCACCAACCAAATTAGCGTATAAAATATTAAAAATGTCACATAAAAAATTCCACTTTATAACAATCATCAACAAAAACGTACATCAAAACTAAAAGAGTCGGCTTTTTATAGATTCGAGTGGAAAAAAAAAAAATTAGAACTTCCACGCGTATTGCAAAAGGCACGATCACCTTTTATTAACAGCTTTCTCATCGATTCATTCGAGAGGCGCTCAAGCATACGGCACTGTCACCGCGTTATTTTTATATCCTTACGGTACCAATGAAAGCGAACGGAGGAAATCTGTTAATGCTTTTGCCACAAAGTAACCCACATCATGTGCTTCAAGGATATACATATACGTAATATGTACACATGAACCGCCTTGACGTCATCTCTCGGAGCTACTTATAACGTCTCGTTCTTGAATTCAACGAGTTGTGTCCGGCAAACGCGTGGGTTATACACAGGCTCGCTATGTATAGCTTATTGCGTGTGGGTGAAGATTTTTTTAAATTACAATAGAGCGTATTCATATATATGTGGCACGCAGGTGTATCGATTCAAAGTTGTTATGTTCTGTTTGAAAGTGAAGTGTACGGCAAGTGGGTTGACTGTCACCAACGCGGTCTCACACGCTCTCTCGCGCGCATATATACATCCACTCGGTGTGTGTAGCAATTTTTCATGCATATTGCACTCTCGAGGGAATAAATTTAATTAAAGCAAGGAATAAAGCGTAGGTATGTATACTAATGATATTTGCATCACGAGCACCTTCTACTTTTTTTTTTTTCTTCCTTTCGGATATTACGCTAGTTGCTAGGAATGTGCTGTTGATATACTTTGTTGAAGCGCAAATTGGGACAAAGGCTAGGTAAGTATTGAGTCGTTATTACGCGATATCATGGCTACAGATGAGTAATCAAAGTTACGGAATGGAGATAATGTATGCCAACAACATAATCCCAGTATCTCGTATTAAAAATTATATCGATGTGTATAGGTATAATTTACTGTTCAAGCGATATCTATTGATAACGTTATTATTGCGTTGCAGACATTGAAGCACGTGTGTTTTATACGCATATTTATAATCATTCTTTTTTTACCACTTCCTCAAGTAATTGGGAAGCTTTGCAATTGTTTTCAACCTCACGAAACCGGTAACGAAACAATGAATCTTTAAAAACTCAAAAAAATTTGACGCTTCAATACCATGACATAAATTTGAATTAAATCTTGATCAATTAACTCAATTTGTAATTTCGTACTCGGTCAACACTTAGGTAATTATTGATATTATTGTTTCTACGAATTAAGTCAAGGTTATTGGTGCAAATTCTCCAATATGTTTTACCCGATTTTATAAATATTATTAATTTAATCTTAAAAGACAAATCGGTCCCTTATTATTTGTTATACAAGTATTTTATTGGCACGATCATACAAACATGTCCATCGAAGCGTCTAATTGCAGCAAATACATATTTAGTACACAAAGCTCATTACGTATTTTGGAGCTTAAGCATATGGCTATTAATAACTCGATGTTAATATTTTCTACTTCTCATCGCACTTGTGTACCAATTAATTGATACATAAAATTCAACCACTCCACGTGCCCCACTCACCGATTCACCACACGAAAAATAATAAAAAATTTTAAACTAACCGATCTCCTTTTTCGCAAAAAGCAAACTCAATTTTGCTTCAATTTATGTTATCATAATGATAAACGCGCGTAACAGGCCCACCATCACGAGTAATCCACACGAGGGTAAACACCCAAAACAACCTAATGAACTCTGATGACTCGCCACGGCTTCCCCCTTTCATACAACACATTACAGGATATTAGCGAAATCACGAACGCACGTAACAAGTATACATATAATGTGCTGTGTGCATAAGCCATCGAGAGCTACACTCGCCATACCGCAGGCGTCTTATTTTCCTCGGTGTAAATACCTAAAGGCTCACGTGTGGGGTTTTTGTATAAGTACTTGGGCGAACGAGTTTCTCCAGCAGAAAGGCGCGATCGAGTTTTCGATCGGGACAACAAACAGATATATACTTGTACATGAGTTTACTTCAGTACGCGAGGAAAAACGCACTTTCGATGACCAGTTGATGGATACTTTGAAACAACAAAAATGGAGTCTGTTACTGCAAGTTTTGACATAAATTACATCAAGTCCACGCCGCTGGCGCATTGGAAGAGATATTTACAAGGTATACGCTTGAGATAAGAAAATTGCCTGATGGCCGAGAGCTGGTAATTTTCACGATTTGTCTGTCGGATATTACGGATCATTCGTTCATCTATTCCTGTGCAAGATTGGACACTACTATATAATCTGACTAGCACTATACTTCAAAGAGTAAGTATCGGTTTAACTCGAAGAAGTTTAGGTGGTGTACGGAGCATCTTTAACAACGAGTTTATCAATTTATCGACGAACATTGTAACTTGTGAAAATGTACTAGTAATCATACAACTGAACCTCTGGTTTTAGTATAAAATTTAATTAAATGCAAATTTTGAAAAATAATGGAAAAGTTATTTACGTATAACAAATACGGAAGAGGCGAATCTATACATAAGATGCGTACGTGATTTTTCGCACTTTGGGCGAAGAAATTATATATATTTTTTTTCAATTAAATAAATAAAGAGTAAATGTTAATCTTTTCTCGAATGAATCAAGATGTTAAATACTGAATCTAAAAAAAACGGACTAATAAAATAATAACGATAAATTGTGGTTTGCTAAAAAACTGAATATACAAGTTATTAAATTCAAGAGAGATTAGAAACATGTACAGTTTATAATTAAAAAAATACGTGTAAAAAAACCCCCGTTAAAGTTCGCTGTGCACAAGTACCGTAGATCGAGGTGTTAACCAAAATAATATATTCCGCTTCATAAACGAAAAATGTGAAAAAATCACAAAACTCTGTCCAACGAATTTAATACAAGATCGAAGAGCTTCGTAAAATAAGAAGCTTCGAACAGCGTCGAAGAAAAAAAGGAAAATTAATCCAACCTCACTGCTCGGTCCCGCTTAAATCACGAACTTTAATCAACTCCCTGCCTTCGTTCTCTCGCCCGCACTAATCAATCTCGAACCAATAATAAACTTAGAATCAAAGTTACGCGAGAAACCCCCCGGGTACAAGGATCGCTCAACCACACCCTGTAACACGTAACACGAGGATCGTGGGGGGGGGGGAAGGGCCCCCGTAATAAAGATAATCCCCACAGGCGTGGGCGTCTACTGCATATTACATGTATACTGTACACACACACAGGCGGAGGCGGTGCCCGCGGGGGTCGGAAACTTACGCGTACTTCGAAAAGCCCAACTCAAAGTTGGAAAATAATAAAAAATTAAGCAAAAAGAACAGCGTTCCCCAAGATATATCTTTCCATTTTTTTTTGTTTTTCTTCTTACAAAATGCGGAAAGAACAAAAAAAAAAAAAAAAAGCTCATTTTCACAAAAAGTTCCTTAGTCGAAAGAGAGGGTATACATACGAGTGAAATCATGGCCGAAAGGAAGACAATGCTGAGCACGGGAGATCCATCGTAAGGTTAGTTTACAATGCACTAGTGCACTCGTGTTGTTCCAAGTGGTTGTTGGCCACGGTACAGTTGTTCAAACTATATAGTTACTGCACCTGCGGGGCTTTTGTACGCGGAAGTGTCGTTATAGTCGTCTGTCCGACGTGAGAAGTCCGACGCGGTGGTTAGTGTCCATTTCACTCGGTGGTAAATACGCGTTTGATCGTTCGATGCGGCTGTTACGCAGAGCGGAACGCTTGCGTACGGAAGGGCGGAAAATGTAAATAGACAAATATCAAATAGTACTCCTTTGCTGGTAGTTGCTTTTCATATAGAGTTTTATCAATTGGTCTTTCAGAGGTGACATAGTCAAAGAAAACAACAAGTACGACTCGCACCGTAATTCGCTCATAGTGAATTTTTTGCACGTCTTACTTGAATAACATTACTCTTGACTTGGAAAATTTTACCGATAAATATTTTATGTCTCGATACAACATAGGACGGAACATATCCAAAAGTATTACAACTCAATTAGCAAGTACTACGTGACGTACGTATGAACTGTATATTCCATGGTAATTTACTCTTATTACAAAAGTTTCTAGATTGCACTGTGCTAATAAATAATAAATTGAACTTCACTGAAAATGCTTATAACTTACACGCAAAATTAAAAATTAATTTCTGCATCGACACACTTATGATTTATGTACCCAGTTGAGTTGAAAAAAATTGTGATTTGCTTATTTTCAGCACACACTGAGTAATAAAATCAGGAATAATCAAGCTATGCAGCAGCTCATATTTTGGTTAAAAGAAAAACGTGATGTATATTTATGTATCCGAGTGGCTGTAGTTTTATTTATATTCAACTCAATTCAGTATCATAAATTGTAATAAAAATGTTTGAAATTTCGCTATTCAAGAATAATGCTAAATAATATATATGTCCATATTTAATCAATGCAAATAACGTCACTGGTTGAATCAATAAAATATCCTAATAATCACAGTACCGAACATCACATTTTCTTCATCAATCAGCCAACAATTTAGTTGGAGTATGGTACTACATCATTTTAATTAAAATTAGTGTTTTCAACCATAATCCACCAGTGACATTGTTTCCACTGGTTCAGATTAAGAGAACAAACTACTTAAACATTAGTATATGTCAAAAAGATAAAAAAAAAAAAAAAAAAAAATGGTACTCACCCTGCTGGGGATAAGGAATCGCAGTTCATCCTCGCCCTGCCTGTAGCGCTTGTTGGGGCTGGCTTGACCCCCGGCGTCGGCTTCTCGCTTCATGATTCCTGTAACACGCAAATAGAAGCACAAACGACATCAGTTTAGCCACCTTTTCTCCTCCTTTACGTTTCCTCTTCCCATCTTTATGAAACAAAAACAAAAAAAAAAAAAAAAAAAACGATTTGAGACAGCGACACATACACTGCAATACAAGTCGAGCGTGCCAAGTTTTGTCGAGCAGCCGGTGCCAAAAAGGGCATCAGTCGGACAGGCAAGCGCGTCCACCTGTACATACACGCATACTTAGTCCGCGTCTGTTTAATACGGTGTCGGGATTATTTACTCGTGTCGGCTTGAAATACGAGGATCGATTCATTTGCGCGACTGAAGGGAAAAAGGGTACCAACGAGCTACGTCCGGGCGCGATGATTGTCTTTTGTTCGATTGTGTATTTCCATATGTAGCATTTGTTCGTTTTTTCCGAGGATTTCTAATTGAATTGGTAAAATAATGATAAAAAATGTCTATTTCAGAATGACAGCCCCATAAGAACCATCACCTGCGTTATAAGAGAGGAATTTTGCGAGAGTATATAATGTCTCGGGGGAGCTGTACCACAAATTACTCTGAAAATCGAACGTATTGTAAGTACTACTAAAACTGATTCACAGGAATTTTACGAACGAATCATATTTCACAACGAATCTCCTCGCAAGGCACTGACACATGGCGAGCCAAAACTGAGAAGTTGGAAAAAAAAACCCAACCTGTCATTGGTACTCGTTGAATTTCGCACGCAGCCCTAAAAACACCACTCGAGCGCGCATTACACGAGTACGTCTCAAGCCTCCGTAATAACGACAGTCCCTGTGCGCAACACTATGCGCGCGAAGAGAGAAAAATGCCACCCAACTACGACGACGAGCATCTCTTCTCTTCTTCGTCGCGGTGAATTTATTCGTGCGTAAATCACGCCGATTCTTCGTCTTCCCGTGTACAATCAGTGGGTGGGTGTGTGCAAGCCAGCGCGGAAGCATAAATCACGCGGGGGTTGCACATCATTCCCCAATACGAACTACGCACCGCAGCTCCTCTTTATCCCTCTCTCTCTATGTATAATATATAGGCTATTGGTGTTGGTGGTGGTGTGCCTATACGTATGCCAGCGTCTACTTATTGCACGACGGCGATATCAGTTGAGGGACGTGAGAACTTGAAATATTTTTGATACATCAGCTTGCAAACGTTAAACGTTTCGCCACGAAAACCAAGACACATGAAAAACTATAAATATGTGTAAGGACAATGGTATCGCCGTATCTCATATAAATTTTGGCTGATTGTGAAACTATTAGCGGTGAAAATGTTCAATCCATCCGATATAGATTCAAGACGGCACTTCTTACCAAGATTTTCCGTGCGTTGGAGGAGAACAAAAAAAGAACCTCATGGACTTGGACAATTGAACTTTTCGTCTCGAGCGAAAAAATAAAAAAAATGAACAAGCCACGAATGGTGAAGATCTCAAGAGCCGACTTTACGAGCCACATTCACGCGATTTCCCACGATTTCGCGACTCCGGCTCACTTTTTTTTTCTTTTTTTTTTTTCTTTTTATCTCAATGAAACTCGGGAAATCGAGTGCGATGAACAAAAAAAAAAAAAAAAATCTATCGGATATACTTAGTCGTTAAAGCGTGCATCCAACTTTGTGCCGGTGAAATTCAAAAATAAACTTAGCACAGGTCAACAGAAAACCCGCGCAATACAGCCAAACGGACCCGAATGAAGGAGCCGTTCACTTGCTGCTCGAGAACGTGGTTGCACAGTTGTGAGATACCATTTTGAGGAACTACGGCGTTCCGCGCCGCGGAGCGTACACGCACGTACGTGTGAGAGAAGCTTCATCAATGAAACGTGGTGTTTTTCATTCTGGCTTCTGGTGTAACATGATATAATGATCGGGGAAGAGGGTGTATATAATATAGCGTGGGGCCAAAAGAATGGCTGCGAGTCGGAAATTTCGCGGCTTATCTTCGCGCGCGATCGGCGTGGTTCCTACATATTCACGGTACACGGTGAGTGTTTTCCTCCGCGGTCGTCGTCGTCGTGTAGTTGTTGTTGCGAGACTTGAGGGAAAGTTTGGCTGCTTTGGACGCGAAATGAGATGGACGTGTGGATAATTTAACGATGGAAAGTTACAGTAGCGATGGCCTATGCAGGCGGTGATTACAATTCTGGTACAATTGTATACAGAGATAATTAATTCTTGCAATTCTAGAAAATATTACTCAAAGTGGAAGCGGATTTTCATGTCATTTGGGTATAATTTATATCGACCGATGCTTCGAAGTTATACTGGGCAAATATAGCTTTTCACCTTTTATGATTATAGTAGATCACCGTGACAACCACGAATTATTTTTATACAAAATAAATTAGGCCGTAATTTTTACAATTTTCTTTATCATAAATTTGTCAATGCTGCATTATGAAAAATCATCTGCTTTTACTTGGCAAACATGACACGTAGGATTTTTAGGAATGTGATGATAATGATGCGGGTACGTGTCCTGAATCAATGTTAATAAGGTGTGATGATTTTTACAAATTCGATAAATGTGGCTGAAAACATTATCTGCCTCCATTCCACTTGCACAGGTGGTAAATAATTCAATAGTTGATTTTTGTCCGCGTAAGATTTAGAAACGAAGCTCATCCACATCGTACTTTTTGGAGCTTTTTTCGATAACAGTTAACGACGACAAAACAAACAGCGCGTGTCGTTGAAGGGCCGAAGAAACAAAAAATACGCTGCCTCCCAAAGTTAAAAGGAGACGAAAAAAAACCTACTACTTCTATTCATGCACTTCCCAAGAGGGCGTGCGCCGTGAAAGAACTTTTCGAAACGGTACTTCACTCTCAGTTTTGCACCGGTGAAAAGAAACGGTTCTTTTTCGTTTCCCCTCCGCACCTACTGCACCTCAAACTTTTTCGCGCTTAGCTGATACCGGACGTGACGACGACCTAAAAAAAAAAAAAAAACTTACGTACAAAAGCAAAAAAAGCGCGGGTGTGGACTCATACCTATAATGGCATCGTTAATTTCTAAAAATGTCAATGCCTTCGAGCGCTCCGGGTATACTTGAGGTCCGTTCGGCTCGTGTGCGCCAGAAAAGAACTCATTACACCGGAGTAAAGACTTGGTTGCGACCATATTCTTGAAAGTTGAACGAAGAAAAATTAATACAACTTTTCCAGGTACACGGCGAAAAAAAAAAAAAATACATGTATTCCTGCACCACTGTATCCCAGGAACAACGAAAACACATCGGGCAAATTGCGCGGGGCCCGCATTACAACACAATCCAAATAAAGCACAACCATCTCGTCGTAACTTCGGCTATATTTACAACAACCGTAAGCGAGCCACTGTTGTACTCGTAGCGTGTGGAAATGCCTGCTTAAGGCGTGACGTATATCGTAGACACATCACAGGGGTACAGCGTAGCTTCTTCGCCGTCAGAGTCATCATCCTCCTCCTCGGCAAACACACGTGCGCTTGTGAATGAATGGACTGTCAAAATGTAGGGGGAAAAAATAAGAAACTCGATATTTTTAACGTGTTTACTAACGATTTCACGATTCATGCCCTTGGGTTTGGATTTTTCTTTGTCTCGTCTGTTACAAATACGGTCAAACGAACTTTTCCTGCTGTTACCTTAATAACAAGGAAAATTTCCATGTCGTTCGATATAACGAATGGAATTTTGCGGGATTTGGGATGCCATTTCGATGTTACGATTTGAATAGGAAAAATTGTGGAAAATTAGTAAAATTTAACGAGTACTATTTACTCACGCAGAAAGTGATCAAAAGGTCTCTTCGCTGAGTTATCGCACAGTTAAATTTGTCGAATCTCAGCTAAGATTACTGCTAAAAAAGTTGCTCTCTACTAGTTAGTCACATTGAACACTTTCTTTAGCAGGTTAAACATGTATATTGATTTCCTCCCAATGAGCATCTTTTCATCAAAAAATCAGTTAACAACCTAATTAGTGCAAATAATGTACTTGTATCTACAGATGACCATTCGAATGTCAATCGGATGACACAATGTCGTACGTGTAGAAACTCAGCACTAAAAGCCACTACAGCATAAAGAGATATATTCTACTTGTTGATCTACGTACATTAAGACCACATGTATCATTATCCCCGGGTGATAGGAAATACCCTGTCGGCGTTTACACCACGTAAGATATCACATTACCCCAACGTATGTATATACGCGTCATTCAAATACTCGTTGATATGCAAACTTTTAACCTGATACGTGTCAGCATAGCTTTGGATTCCGTGAGATTTTTTAAAATTTCGAATTTTTTTTTTTCTAGCTGGTAAAAAAAAAATAGATATTCCGATCGATGATGTTGAATTCGTTGCAACCATGCGATGAGGCTTGAAATTGAATCAACACTTGGGTATATGATACCATTTATCTCCTGAAAGTGTGCTGAAGTTCCCAGAGTGCCAGACGACACCCGATGCTGGGAACAAAGAGAAGTCAATTCGATGTAAACTCTGTCCAACGTTGCAAAATGTAGATTACACACGTTATTTTTATCTTTTTGATACGTGATAGCACTGATCGTTCAAAAGAAAAAAAAAACTCGCAAAGGATTATTGCATCCAATCAAATGGATGTTTTTTTTTTTTTTTTTTTTTTCAATTTTTCAATTTTTCTACCAACGAGTAATATATTGGCAAACGTAGGATTAATTGGAGCTAGAAAAAAAAAATTTACACACACACACACACACACACACACACACACACACACACACACACACACAAAAGGATATTGTTTTACTTCACTTCAATTGACTCATCCAACCAGCTTTGAACTAAAGTTAATGGATGTATTTAAAAAATACATAAAAATAAGAATTCCGTTCTGTCATTTAAACAGGTTGTACAATAAGATAGGAATCCAAATCGAAATCCTATAGGGGACTTGAATAGCGAAAAATTGAGGTCGCACTTCGTTAGTTGGAATGTGGCTC